ATTTAGAAGATACTCTCTTTTGGAAAAATATAGGACAAACTAAACTTTAAATTGGTGCAATTTTGCAGGTTTTGGAAAACAGTATCATTTTCATGCAGTCATTTGAAAGTAGAGCTACAATTTCCATTGAAGAACCTTACTGGTCCTTGCGGAAAAAAACATACAACTGTTTCAAGTCAGCTAGTCAAAACACATTTTTTGGTCTGTTTTTTCATAATATTTTGATTCATGTGTCCCCAAACAAAACAGAAAATGCTTTTAGTTTAGAATATTCACCTGTTCTCTTTATTCAGTCCTAGAAAAGAAAAATGTCCTGATCTTGGAAATATTTAATGCAATGTCTTAATATTTCTTACTCAAAAATTGGTTACCTCTGGTTCTCATGAGTTAACTTGCTGAAGATAAATGGACAGTTCTCAAAACAGTTTTTTTTATTTCTCCTTAGAGGAGGAAATATGTAGGAATGTGGTCTTTCTAAACCATTCATGAGTGAATTCCAGATTAAATGATAGCAATTGATATCTGTGAATTTGGCCAGGGATTTGGAGTTTAAAGGTTGAACAGAAAGAGTGATTTCCTATCCTTCAGAAGAAATTTTCTCACTTACATAATTGTTTAACACTTTCGCTAGTGGTGAAATTCATACAGTTCATCTGATAAGGTCTGTAGTTGTGTGCTAACTGAGACAAAGGTGTTACAAATGGATATGTGTTAAGAAGCGTGTATAGCCCTAGAGATGCCATCAGCCTTAGCATAGTTTGGATTTATAATTTGCCTCACCCAAAGAAGACTTCCTAACAGATTCTTGAATGTCACTGCGTCCTGGTCTGGATCCCTTGAGAAGCTGAATTACTTTCCATCCTAAATATGTTATTTTATGTAACATATCACTGGGTAGCAGCCTGCCAAAAAAACCTTGGGTCCCACAGAACTGTATTGTAGGTTTTCCTTCCTTCCATACTCATTACCTTGGTGCTGGCAGCATCATTCATAAGCCTGAGATTGACTATAATGTCAAACCCGCTTCACATTAGCAGGACAGTTCTTCTCCAGATTACACCAATTTTACAAACATCCCTTGGGTACTGGTGATGGCTGTAACTGAAAAGGTTATCAGGCATTTACTGTTGTTCAATGTAGTCCATACCTTCTTTGAGACAGCTGATTATTTAGCTAATTGGGCTTTAAAGCATAGGCTGACATAGTCACATGCCACTGGTTTACCATCAGGATAGCTTCAGCTTTTTTCATTATTGAGAATATACTTCCAGAAGAAACTGTAAATATCAACATTTGATTTCTCTAGGTCACTTAAGGAGCATATCTTGAGACACTGAATATGCAAATCTCACAACTGAGTAACACTTAAGTTTTAAGATATGCTTCTTAAACTGTCGCCAATACTTAGCAGGGCGTGGAAACTTCTGCGTACTTTTTGGATTCCTCTGTCTTTAAAATATGAATATTCAGAGGAAGTTTAAATGTTTTATAATTATCTATACAGGAAAAAGAATGCCTGTTCTCGTCACCTAATGTAAGTGAAGGGAAGGAAGAGCCAACAAAATGCAAATTTGGCAATAGGCAGCTCTGTCAATTTTTGCTAGGAAAGAGGTCCTCCAGCCTCTATAATGGACGTGTCCTCAAAAAAGGACGTGGGGCCGACACCTTCCATAACAGCGTTAGATCAAGGACCTCTGGAAATTACAAATAGTCCATCACTTAGAGGCAGGGTGAGGAAACAAAAATAGGGCAACGGAAATTAGAATTGCATGAACAACGGAGTTTCTCTTTGGTGACCCAATCGAAAAATTAAACCAAAAAAAAATTCATTTTGGGTCAGCCCAAAGCACTTTTCCAACTCAAAATGAAACAGCTCGGTTTGCTTTCAAACCTCTTTTCAAACTTTTAAAGAAAATATACATAAAAATCTAAACCAAAACACTATTTTGAAGTGTAAAACTGAAATATATTATTTAGAATATGTCAGAATGAAACATTTCAGCACGATTTTCCTTTTCTGAACTGTAACTACTGACTGAATTGAAACCAAGCTTGTCTGACTGAAAGTGCACCTTTATTTTCTTCTGGTCAGTACTTGTTTGTCCCAGACATTTCCCCTGGTTGTAAGGCAAACCTCCTCTGACTTCTACTTCCTTTGTCTGTTCAAAACTGACCATGACCCACCATCCTTCACACACCCACAAGTCACACGTGTCCTGCAAGAGAACCTATGAAGGAAATTCTGCAAAATTTCCAGGGCTTCGGCTCATGAGGTTTCCATGGTAGATTCTTCTGGCTGGTGGTTTTCAAGGTTGGAGAAGTTAATAAATAATTGACTTGGTTTTTACATTTTCACAGACAAATGGGTTTTCATCTGGGTTTAGCCCTGATGTGGAAAGCCTGAGAGATTGTTTTCACATTTCTGGCTAGGTCAGTTCAACAAGAACAGTGTGGAAGAGGCCTAAAGGAAGTGGAAGAAGGAAATAAGTTAATTGTCCATTTGTGAAGATGCCATATCAACAAGGAACAGCATGTGTGTGTTTCATGGTCTAGTCTCTGTTTATAATCAATGAAGAAAACAGGTACCTTCAGGGCAAAGTCATATTAGTCTGTCCGAAGATACAATCTTTATTAACCTCTAAAGCAGATCAGATGAATGACACCTGGATAATTCCTATTATCCTCCATTGACTGTAAGAGGGAGCTGGGTGTAGCTTGGAGATAGACTGTGTCTGTCCAAGGTCAGTGAGATAAATTCCCGATTTGATGCTTAATCTCCCTCTCTTTGCTGTCAGCTGTTGCAAGTCCAAGTGATAACGCAGAGGATGTCAGCCAACAGCTCTTGACAACATCATTGCTTATCCCACAAGAAAAAAAAAAAAAAAAAAACCAATTGAATCTAGTAAAAGGTTAAACCTCAACACTGTAATTGGGGCACCAAATTAAAGTGGTATCGAAGCCTGTCTGGCTGTCACTGTTGGGTCACTTCTGCCTTGACTGTGAACAGGAATGTAATTCATATGTTGTGAGATGCAAATGGGAGTGTGGAACAAAGTAAACCATGTTGATTGAATTTAGTTTGGCAGATAACAGACACCCATCACCCAGATGAATCATATGCCAGTCTAGTATGTGAGTTTACACAAGTAAAGGTTGTGATTTCAGGTTACATAAACCTTGTTTGAATTAGGTATGGATGGATGCTTTTATCTCAAAATCACTCTGGTTCAGGAGCAACATGGGATAGTTTAATCTCACCTCAGTGTCATCTAACTTTAACAGTTGAAGTATGACATATAGAGGCTATTTTTAGACTAACTTTGACTTCTCTTTTAATTTATTTGATTATGCTACCAAGGTAGATCAAGATAGATTTCCTGCTAAAAATTTTCCCATATTACAGGATCTATTCATGGGGTGTCTTCTACATATCCTTTTAGAAGGTATTTTTACATATAAATGTCCCCAATATACTGTGCTTGCAAAACTTCATCCCCTCCTCATCTGCACTGCAACTCTGAGTCCTTTATTTGAGGACATTCACAGTGTTTGGTTTGGTTTTTTTTTTTTCAGATGTACACAGGATACCTGTTGCCCTGATGAATAAACAGTGAATCCTCGTTCAAGAAGTTTTCATCAGTTGTTGACAAGCCACTGTTATGTATTTCTTCTGGCTTTCTCACTATTCGGATTCTTTTCACCTCTTTAACCTCGGTCCAGCCACCAATGTCCCTGGCTGCACAAGGAACATGTCCTCTGTCTTTGCCCAGGGAACATTACTGAAGGACATGATTATGATGGATTAAACTGCTCCTCAGTGACTTGGTTTTTTTTGCCTGGGAGCTTGTATTAAAAGTAGGTACCAAGCCCTTCTCTTCTGAAGTGCTCTCAAATGCCTGATGCTGCAGAGCTCCATTCGTGTTCAATGTGCCCATGGGGCAGTGAGGATCCGGTGCTCTGAGTTTTCAGAAGCAGCTGCCACCTTACTGTCACCATCTCATCTGACCAGGAGGGACAGTTTGGGACTTTTCATCAGGAGCTATTCAAGATGGGATCTTGTCTATGGGCGTAGTGAGGCAGAATCAATGAACCAAACCATGGACCCTAATGCGTGATGCTATTTTTCCCACCACCCCTCAAAAGAAAGGCTGGCCCACACGTTCTCCACTAAGCCCTGGCTTACAATAAGTTGAACTTGCAGCCTTAGGGTGAAGAAACAAGTTCCCAGACAGAGATTGCATCCTTTCTGGATACAAGAACACACAGTATGTGTCATCTCCCTTGCATTTGTGTAACAGAGAAAAGCTGTATAAATAATATTTGAGGAACAATATGTTTATTATAATAAATAAAAGACTAAACATGAATAAAACAATCTGTCCACTTATAAACATCACACAGCAGTTTTAATTTCATAGTTCACTTAAAACCCTTTGGTACAGTTTCATAAATACATTTCCTTGGATATTTTTCAATTATTCTATATAAATAAAAGTACTATACAATTATTACCTTAAAATAAGTTACCATTAAATATGAATGATAAAAAAATTTTCTGAATTAGTCTGAAATATCAACTTTTCAAGTAAAGGTCAGAAGGGGGCAACATATGCAAGGGAGATTTCCAAGTAAAAGGCTCAAAACATCCTGGGTACACATCACTGCCTACCGTGACCAAAGACGATTCATAGTTGTCAAATCTCAGCATATAAAATACATAAACAGTTGCCTTATTCCTATAGAGATGAGAAGGACAGGAGTGTGTCTTTGATAATAACTAATGCCCTGTGTTGAAATGGAGCTGCAACCACTGTCCTGGAGTTTTTCAAAGAAGGTAGCAATACACATCCTGTCTGTGCCCACTTAGTTTGTTATTTCTGGCACAGATGAAAAATATGCTGCATCTACAGGTGTGGGTTTTTCTTCCACAATAGTTAATCAATTCAAGTTATAGCAAGAGTTTTCCAGAGACATCTCCTCAAGTCTGATCTGAAATTCTTTCAGTTTTTCTTCCTGTTTCCTCCCTTCTTTGGGGCATCAGTACAAGCATTTTCAATGTAGTCAAACAGTAAATCCAGTTCTCCAATGGCTTTAGTCTTTCCATTCTCTCCCAACTAGAAAAGAGCAGAATGTAAGTTTTAGCATCTCATTATATCTCAGAAAATCGAAATTAGACTTGTCACAGAAACAGAGTTGAGGATTTATTGCCCTTATTCTCAGGTAGTTCTGTTAGAGCCATTGTACCATAAGATACAAACTAACTCACTCAAATCTAGTCTAGCATATACAGTTACCTGCAACCCGACCTCTGAAGGTTTACATTGCCATAACACATGCAGAGAGTTAACAGGAGGAGTGAAGGAGGGCTGGAAGTGTAAACATCACTAATCCTCTCTTTAATGACCCTGCAGGCTTCCGCTCCTAAATAATCTCCAGAGTTTGTTTCATAATTAGGTCAGCCTTAATCCAACTAAACGACTGGGGTTTGGAACTGCTCTTTTTAAAGGCTGGGCAAAAATGTACCTGTTCTATTTTGCTCTTCATTTCTTCCAGGTTCTTTTCAATGTGGTCTCTGTGTCCTGAGAATTTCTAAAATAAGAAGACATCCAGACATAACATCAGCAGCTGTATGCAACAATGTGTCTTTTTGGTTTTTTCACACCTTTCTATCGACCTCAAGTTCAATATCTTTGATCTGAGGTTTCCTTTCCTATCACTGCCTCTTGCTGCTCTTTGCAGCATTCTGAGCTTCAGGAGCAATGACAAGAGTCACAACTCAGAGGAGGGAAAGAAGCCCAACGCAACTCACACATCTGCTCAGCTCCGAGGTCAGGGATGCCAAGAACTGTGCCACCTCCTCAGTGTACGGGTACTTGTCCTTAGCCTCAGTGAGGAGGACATCTTGTACTATGATCTCCACAACCTTCTTCATCATGTAGCAGTGGTTGTTTTCCTATACATGAGTATAAGACGTCGTGTTAAATCATGGCAAGAGATCAAAGAGTGCTGCAGAAGGATGCGAAGAGCAGGCTTACCTTGATGTTAACATAGAGCTGCTGCCCAATGAGCCTGTTGTCCGTGTCCTGGTCTGAGACCCTGGCCTGAGAAGAAAAAAAGAAAATGTCAAGTGGGGATGGGAACCTTACCCAAAAAATTAAGCATACACCCTAAGATTTTCATCAGTAGTAGTGCAGGTGAAAGGAGGGACTGGACACCATAGACAGCTTGTTACAGGTAGGTGAGCTTGGATGTTGAGTCTGTTTCTCCGCTTAACTGGGTGAGATTCAAGGTTAGTATAACTGGAAAATAAATAACATCTGAATTCCCGTCCCCCTCTTAAACTCAGATGTCGCAGTGGTTATGATGACTAAAGCAGATGCCGCAGGTGGCTGCCCTCACTGGTGGCTGCAGTGCTGCTGGGAGGTGCTGCAGCTCTTGGTGGTGTACACCAGAGGGGACCCACCCGTGGTCACAGCAGCCAGGAAACCTGCCCAAGCAGAGCACTGTGAGATGCTTGAGGAGCTGCCTGGCCGTGGCTGGAGTCACGGGCAGTCCCAGTTCCAAATGGATGGTGCAAACAGAAGAATTTAAGCTCATGTTTTACAGTGCCCCAGTCTACCAGTCTAGCAGCAGCTGCTTGAGAGAAGGAGCTGTGCTCTGCTAGGGGCTGCCTTTTCCCTGGGGAGCAGAAGAGGCAGCAGCTTCCCCCAGCTACACAACCAGTGGACAACAGACCTACTCCTTAAGCCCAAGCCTTACTGCATATGTACGTTTCTTGCTGGAGAAAGGCATGAGAAAGAGAGAGGAATGCTGAAGGCAAGAAGTCAAGGCACTGTCAAAGAAGAAGGTCATCAGATCCTGCCATGAAGGACATATGGGTTACTGTACCATTTTAGCCAAGGTGTAGGTGCGATTCCTGATATAGGGCAGCTGGAAGTTGATCTTCCTGAGCCTGCAGGCATGATGGGCAGTAGAAGCCACACCTGCCCCTTTCAGAGGCAGAGCGCTGGTGAGAAGAAGAGGGAGACAGCAACAGCAGCAGCAGAAGACCCATCCTGAGAAGCTCTTGGTCAAGGTCTGCAGAGAGGCCATGGCTCACGGTCCGAAGTCGTTCGTCCCAGCAGGCTGCAGCTACAGCACTCAGCACTGGTGAGAGAGAGCAGTGTTAGCATCGGGGAGCGCTGGCAAGGCAAAGTGAGAGAGGCAAAAGGCTGCAGGGCCTTACCTCTGCTGTGATTCTTGATGTGGTCTGCAGGAGGTGAGGCGCACCATATATAGGGCCACCAACATCTCTCTCAGCTGGTTTTTTTTTGGGTGCTGGTGGTGAAATAAAAATTACATCAGCAAGTCTCTTACTTTCCAGTATCCTCTTCTGAGAAGAACCTAACCACTACAAAACCCACAAATACAATTTCAAGGCCATTGCAATCTTTAGTTTCTTATAAAATAAACCAAAATTTAACGTAGGGCAAAGCAGGGGCTTTTAGTGGGGCAGGAATCCTGAATTCTTTTTGCATAAAAATATTCGAGAAGCCACAAATATTTGTGCCTCCTGTCTTGATTGTAATATACTGATTGGACTGGTAATTTGATGGCAGATAATGTAACATATATTTTTTTCTTCATCTTCTGTGGTAAAAGACTGGTGCTCCACTGCCACTGACTGGGATACACAAGTGGTCAGAGTCTGTACCTGACTCAAAGCATTGACCACCTACAGTTCCTACCTTCAAACACCCTTTTCCACACAATAGTCCACTGGAGTCACTGGCCATCTGCTCATCACTGTGCAGTCCTGTCTAAGACATCAGGAACTGTGTAGGACCAACACCACATTTATCACACCCCTGGCCACTGAATCCCCATTTTCCACAGAACCGTCCATATTCCAGGCTGTAACCTGGTGTAATGACCAGACCTGTGGTCATGAACTTACTTTTTCGAGTGATTTCTACATTTCTGCCTGTGTTCAGCTAACATAAAGGCAATGCTGCACCTTCAGTCTAAAAAATTATGTAGGCTGCTAAAGGGAAATTGTTCTCTCTTTAGAGAGTAATTTGCAACCCAGCTGTAGATGGAAATGCATGAGGACACAGAACTGGTACAAATGCAGACTCCTGGTTGTTTAATAGCCAGAAGGCATACAGATGACAAATGTGAGAAACTGGAGCTGGAAAACTGAGGCTCCAGCTCTGTCTCTAAGAGTGAAGAGGGGCATCACTGGGGCTGGGCTTCACTCCTTGTGGCTGAGGTTCTCAGGACCGGAGCCATAATCAGCCTTATCCTGTGGGCTGAAACACCCAGCGCTTTTCCTTGTACCTGAAAGGAAGGTTGGCTGGCACCAGGTTTACACTTCAGCCTCCCTTGCTGTACCCACAACACAAATTCATCTCTCCATGCCTCAGTCCTGCCTCAGCTGTCCTCAGATACCTGTCGCATCAGCTCTGCACAGCTCTGTGCCCTTGAAGCTGCATCCTTCACCCTAGAGTCATCATCATCAATGTCACTTTCCTGACTGCAGCAGGCAGCAGAAAGGAACTCTGGACCGAGGATGTCAACAACCTAATTCACACCCCAAATGTACCACAAGGCTATTCAAGAATGTGTTTATAAACTCTTTTCATAAATTTTTCATTTGCTGAGCTGATAGGCCCAGTGAGGCAGCAGGTTAATGAGAAGATGTGAGACTGAGTTACACTTAAACAAAAGATAAACATTAAAGGACAAATTTGTAGAAATCCAAACAGAGAGGCTGTTTTGAAAGGATTGTCCTCCCCTGAAGTGCATTCCCACAAACTCCTCTCCAGATGTTAAACACAGTCTGGTAACCGAAGTCTACTTCTAACTGACGTTTCTTGCACTCCTCCACCAGCTCATCCAGCAGAACAGAACCCAAACCCAGAGCAAAAGCTGTGAACAGGCATTCAGACTCTCCCTAGTCCAGACTTCCTGTCCTTCTGCCCTTCTGGCAGATCCCACCTCTCCATCTCTTTGGCCACTTAATCAGGCACGGATCCAGCTTGCCTGACCTCTTCCTGGGGCTCCAATCCCAATTCATGGCCTGGGCAAGTCAGTGCTGTGCCACTCACATCTGTTCAAACAGCTACAAGGAGTCCACCTGCTCCCAAGCTTCCCACACCTCCTGATGGATATTTAAACAGCATCAGGCAGAGGCATGAGGCATTAGATGCTGAATCTTCCTCCAGCCCCCTTTTACGCAGTCATAACAGGATTTCTCCTGTCTTCTCTGTTATTGGAAACCATACACTGCAACATACCAATTTTCATAGACAACATTAAGTTAGACTTGCTAAGGCTCTCTTTCTCCCATCTGTATTGTTAGCCACCTCTCTCAGTCATACTACTTCTTGGCTGTGCCATGATGTCCTCCTTCTGAGGCCTTAGAAAAGCTTTGTTTCAGTTGTTTAGTTTGCTTCCCTACCTCTGGTATTCACCTTTATTTTCCAGACACTGAAATGCTGAAAAGTGTATTGTATGTTCATTGTTTCATATTTCACAAATTCCCTTTTTATGACATTCCTAAAACCTTCACAATATTTAAACTTTTGTTTGCAGTTGTGAATTATAACAACCTGTATTCCACCCTTCTAGCTTGCTGTGAGTATGGTTCAGCCCAAAAATGAACTTTCAAAACCTTCCTGGACACTAATTTTAGCAGACTGTATGGCTCCCATGCTCATCAGTCCACTCCTGGCCTCATCCCAATCACATTCCACCAGATGACTGCTGGTCCTGGGTGTACCACTGAGATAAGGTGCAGCCACAGCATGGCTGCAGTTATTCCCTGTAACATGTTGAGAGAATAGCTGTGGAAGTAGGGATAGGCCTCCTGTTCCCAGGGTCAGCTATTTCTGTTTTGAGACTGCATTGAACAAGGATGTGACTAGTCACTGTTAGCACCTCTTACTGACTAGCTCACCACACCCTTGATGTGAGATAGACATCCAGCATTACACCCTATGGCAAGATGGGGCCAAAAACCTGCACTACCACTGAATCTTACTCCAGTCCTCAGATGAAGTCCACAGAGGCAGAAAGCAACTGTAAAGTTTTTTACTGCAGTTGAGAAAAAATTTCTCTTTCTTCTTGTTTGAGGAGGAAATACAATAAATTTCTGAAAAATAAGTCTTGAGCCAGCACTGAAGATGAAGCTGAGGGAAATTGCTTACTTAGACACCCCTCCCCAAACAGGCTACTCTGAACTGCAGAGCTGGCAGAAGAGATCAGTGGAAGGAAAGCTGCATTTAATATGCGATATCCTGGATGAAGCCTTAAGTGGTGGGTCTTACTTTGGGGAAAAAGGATAAAGTGGGGAGAAAAAAAAACGTGTCTGAAGGACATGTCTTAAAAGAGCAGCCTTTCTCGCTAACTGTTTCCTATGTTAATATTGTCAAGTATTCTGGCAAGTGGTATGGGAGCTGGTAATTTAGCAATTTCTCTTTGAGTCTGAACTACTGATGTCTTATGATACAGTACCAAGCTTTTCTTTATAAAACAATGTTCTCTTGAAAACAAACAAACAAACAGAAAGGAACCACAAAAAAGACCCCTCCAGGCTTGGGGCAGGAGGGGAACGGGGATAAAAGGCTGTGTGGAAAAAGTAATTTTCCTCTTCAATTTTATTACTTTTTCTAGGTTTAATGATATTTCTAATGCTAAGGCTAGTAACTCTGTTTAAAATACAAGATTCTTACATGAAAATATACCTGGTATGCTTTTATTTCCATTAAAAACTACCAAGGACCTCTGAATTCCTATAAAATACCCTCTGCATCATTTTTTAAGTACAATTTTAAAATAATTTTGAAATTGTTCACAGATCATATTTTCTCTTCAGTGCTATTCCAAGAGTTAAACTTCTGTCCCATCACTGGCCTCAGCAATAAACTTCTAAAGTGTAATTACATGGAGTTTCCCTAATTCATGAAGAAACCATAGCGGTTGAATATTCTCGACAATGACTTCTTGACCCATATTAAAGACAGAGGATTTTTTGAGGAGGACTGGAAGTCTACATCACATCTGCCTCAAAAGCCACAGACACTTCCTTCATACTTTGAATGAGGCCACAGGTGAATAACCAATACTGTACTTTGATGCTCAGCTGTTGTCTATCATCATGAGCACATTGGCTTGTGGGAATTTTGTTGATTTTTTTTCAGTCAGCTAGGATTATATTGCATTATTAGAAACCTCCTCAGGATTGGGCACTGGGCTAGAAACATTGTCAAGAGGAGGCACGCAGAACTGTGAGCCTGTGTATCATCCTCTTGGGTCTGTCATCTAGCGATAAAATTCTCCCTCCTTAAACACCTGTATGAAAGGATCACAAGACCCATAATGCCTAAAACTGAACACAATCCGCATGGAGACATCTTCCACTTTCAGGTCACACTCATCCCCTTCCTTTTGCTCCAGCTCATTTAAAAGCTAGTCCATTGCATTTCATGTCAGTTCTTCTCTGCTTTTGCCTAGATTTTCAAGCTTGAAAAGATTAAAGCAGACTTTAAAAATGTTCCAGCTCTAGTTCCAGTGGAATCTTATTTTAGTCAGCTTTCTACCCAGCAATGAAAACATCAGTAACGGAAGTTAATTCTTTATTATAAGAATTCAGAACAAGCTTTTCTGTAATTCAGCCATTCATTGTGGAAATATCCTAGTACACAGGCAAGTGTCTCCTGGCCATGGTCATTAGGAATGGCAGCAGTGATTAATTTCCTGTGGAGGAAATTATATGAACGCAGGGACTGGGAGAAGACACATAGCATTTGACCATTATATTTTTGCTTTTTCCATGAAAGGTTTAATGTTGTGTAAGACACTGTGAAACTTTTGGAAGCAGGAGTAGTAGTATTAGTAAAATTGCCTAGCCTGGGAGTGTTAGGTGACTCTGGAAAAGACTCTTGTGTTAGATCTCAGCACAGACACTGCTGACTCAGGCTTTTTGCAGAGGATGTGCGATTCACCTACCTCCCCTGACAGTAACACTTCAGCTACACAGTGAGTAACACATTTCCTTTGACAGTAGCACATTTGCTCATATGTCTGGTATTTCATCAAACATCTTTGTT